AATAGTTCGGGTGAACAATGACTCTTTCTCTTCATTTCTGTCTCTGTATGTGGCATTGTTGCGGAGAACTTAAAAAAAACAAAACAATCTTTACAAGAATAATAACATCTTTTGGAATGATCCTTTCTTCAAAAAAACCAGTCATTAGGAACTGTGAATGGGGAAACTTTATTATTTACTTAGACTTTATACAACCTCAAGAATTCACCTAAAGGTAATAATCAGGCAATCCAAGACTGACAAACCAAACTTAACAACTTCCATGAATGCACACAAAAAAAACATTTCAGAAACGTAACACTCAAATGTTCCATGCTCTTAATCAAAGTGAATTTTGAAGCACAGAAGGAAAACTTTCAAGTTTATGGATATTGTAAACAAAAGGTTCTTAACGCAACCAGGATCGGATGCCTGTATGCTGACTTTCTATACGACCCCATTATTCTTTCCATCTCTGTCACTCTGGGGGCAGCCACCGCTTCCTTCCCCCGCAGCTGCTCTGACAAAGGTGAGAAAATAAATTAACTTGGGAAATCCTCAAAAACTGCCATAATTATTTGCCTCACCCAATTATTTCCTTTTAATTGTCAAGTGTCTAAAGCTGCACTTTAAGCATCCAATGAGTGAATAGGTCTTCGTGTTCTACTAACACAACCCATTTGGGAGTTTACTTTTCAAACCAATTATTTTTTTTCCCCCAGTCCATGCAAGAAGGAATTAGGTTAGGTTGGCCTTAACCCCTACTGGCCTTTCAGAAGGCTGTTTAAGAGGGCCATCAGACCTGGGCATCCAGTGGTGATATGCAGCCTGCCTGTTGGTTATACTTTTAAATAATTTATGGATTGTATTCTCCTGCAAATTAAGTTTTAAACTGTTTCAATTGGCTTTTCTAATGGTTTCTGTTTATAACTTTTCATTTTTTGTAAGTGAGCCATTCACACACACATGGCAGATGGACAGTTGAATTAATAAATTGAATGAATGATCTGTGCACACTGACAAAGCCAAGATTATCACCCAATCCGCATGGAATTAAGTGCATTTTCTGTGCAAAATCCAGGGGTTATACTATGTCAGTTCCCCATGTTGAAGCAGCAGTAAAACACTTTTCTCTGGGCACAATATTGGGCATGTTCTGGTGTGTTTCCTTAATGGTGAGGCAGATAATATAGTCAATAGTTGGGTTCTGCCCAGCTCCTATTGGGCATCTTTTACATAAATATATCCCCTTGTACCTAATTATCAATAGCTGCCAACCACAGCCATTTTGGCATGGTTTATAGGAGAGACCAGACATTTTGCTTCCACTCAGACATCTATGTGTATATAGATATCTGAGATATCTAACCCTAACCGGGGGTTGTAACTCTAAATAGATACCTNAACAAGGCATATTTGTCTTAAAACCCCTCCTGAATTCCCTCCGCCCCCACTGGCTTTGCAACACGCTTAAGGAAGAGAAGGATTGGGGGACGGGGGGAGAGAAATCCCAACGGACCATCGAAAGGGAAAACTAATTTGGTGCCCAAGAACCATGGTGGAGCAGCCTGGAGGCCTTTTAAAGTTAGCCATCTGGTTGCCGAGCGCTTCAGAAATGGAATTTGCCATTTGCAAACCCAGGTTATTTTATTGCATTGGTTTTTTTTTTAATTGTGGTTATGTCTCTCTGAGCACCGTGAGAATATATCTGGAAAAAAAACTCCACACCGGGGACGGGAAGGGCATCTGGCCAGGAAACACTCATCTGCATTCAGTTGCCCAGACTCTACCCCCGCAAGAGATTATGGGGTCATTAAAAGATTATGGTTTTATGGTGGTTATGCTGCAGCTAAGGGTGCCCAACAGGACTTAACCTGGGCTTAATCTAACCAGGTTTAACTCAACAGAGGTCATTTCCTCGGTTCCCATGACATCCTGGCCCGTAAATGCACCAGTTCAAAGTTACGCCGACATTGAAAAAAAAGTAATTTATGTCCGTTTCACACTTAACGCCCATTGCAGCATCTCCATGGTGACGCTTGGCAACTGATTCACGTTTACGACACTTGTGGTGTCTTTGTGTCATGTGATCCCCTTTTGCGACGTTCTGGTGAGCAAAGTCGATGGGGTTCGTTTAACTTAACAACGGCAGCGAATCGCTTACCATCTGTGGCCAGAAAGATCTCGTCACCATCGAGATGCTTGCAAAGGGTGAAACGGTCATACATTCCTTTTTTCCCAGTGTCGTCGTAACTTTGAACAGTCACTAAATGAACTATTCTAAGTGGAGGGCTCCTTGTATAATTGCCGGGTTTGGGGCTGCAAATCCCAAGTCCGTCAGGAATAATCTAATGTTGGTTAAAATAGACAAGCATGTGACTTTTAGGAAAAGCCCTGTTCCTCTCCTGTAGGTAAACCTGAAGTAGCCAGCTTTGTAAACTTGATTTAAAGAATGGTTATGTTCAAGCCAGATTAAGAAGATATCTTTGCACAACTGGTTGAGTTTCCATAACACTGACTTGGAGTAAAGTGTGCAGGTTTTTTTTTTTAAAGATAATCCTCGACTTACGACCACAGCTGCGGCCAAAATTTCTGCGAGACGTTTGTGCAATGAGTTTTGTCCCATTTTACAACTTTTCTTGCCACACTGATTAAGTGAATCACTGCGATTGATAAATTAGTGACCCGGTTGTTAAGTGAATCTGGCTTCCCAATTGACTTCGCTTGCCCGGAAGGGGATCTCTCTCTCCCTCTCTCTCCCTCCCTCCCTCCCTCTCTTTCTCTCCCTCCCTCCCTCTCTT